CACATGCTGATCAACATTCATGTAAAATTTCATAACCCTAGGTCAAATACTTTTTGAGTTATGTGCGAAACAAGTTGAAAATTGCAAAATTTTAACAAGTCAAGGGCAATAACTCTGACAAAACAAAATAATCGTCAGGCAAAACCCCAGGTGCACAACTTCACATGCTGATCAACATTCATGTAAAATTTCATAACCCTAGGTCAAATACTTTTTCAGTTACGTGCGACACAAGTTAAAAATTGTGAATTTTAACTAAGTCAAGGGCAATAACTCTAAAATACAAAATGAATCCAGACGAAAATACCCAGGTGCACAACTTTACATGCTGAGCAACATTCCTGTAAGGTTTCATGACTCTAGGTCAAATACTTTTTGAGCTACAAATGAGAACGGAAGGACGTACAGGTAAATCTAATTGCACCCCCTAAAGTGGGGGGCACAAAAATCTGCCAGCAAAAACAATTTTTTTGCAATTCCTAACTGGATAAGAGTGAATAATAAGTGTAGTTTCTTGTTCAAGGAATCAACGGCTTGTCCTTGACAGGGTTTGGACTGACGCAGCCAGCAACATTTGCAACATAATAATCAACAAGATTAATTCAGTATTCTTTTATTTCAAATCATCATATGTCAATTTAAATTCACATATACATAACAAAAAAATGTAGTATAAAATTCATTAAACAATGTTTCAATATTCAACCACAGAAAGATTCAAACTCTTATGTCTCTGATAAAACCAGCCAAGTTACAAGAAGAACACATATATTCTATCTTATTTAATGGTCAAGGCTTGTTTCATACATCATGGACAATAAAAAATTTCCTCCTCGAAACTTTCAACAAAAGAAATTAATAATTTATTTTTCCTTTCTGTATAAAATTGTACAAAATGTATTAAATTTCTGAATCTGTTGAATGATTTGCAAAATAAAAAGAGCTGTCGGTAGGACAGCAACGCTCGACTATTCTAAGTGCTTGATAGTAAAAAAAATGCTTGATAGAGTTACCTCCTCCTGTTTACAGGTTGGGGTCATGATGGTGAACAAGTGTGCAAAGTTTTAAAGCCATATGTCAATGGACTTTGAAAATATTTGAACTATTACAAAAACTTTAACGTAAATTCTAAGTCGAAAAAGGGGTATAATACTGTCAAAATGCTTGATAGAGTTATCTCCTCCTGTTTACAGGTTGGGGTCATGATGGTGAACAAGTGTGCAAAGTTTCAAAGCCATATGTCAATGGACTTTGAAAATATTTGAACTATTACAAAAACTTTAACGTAAATTCTAAGTCGAAAAAGGGGCATAATTCTATTAAAATGCTTGATAGAGTTACCTCCACCTGTTTCCAGGTTGGGGTCATGATGGTGAACAAGTGTGCAAAGTTTCAAAGCCATATGTCAATGGACTTTGAAAATATTTGAACTATTACAAAAACTTTAACGTAAATTCTAAGTCGAAAAAGGGCATAATTCTGTCAAAATGCTTGATAGAGTTACCTCCTCCTGTTTACAGGTTGGGGTCATGATGTTGAACAAGTGTGCAAAGTTTTCAAAGCCATATGTCAATGGACTTTGAAAAATATTTGAACTATTACAAAAACTTTAACGTAAATTCTAAGTCGAAAAAGGGGCATAATTCTGTCAAAATGCTTGATAGAGTTACCTCCTCCTGTCTACAGGTTGGGGTCATGATGGTGAACAAGTGTGCAAAGTTTCAAAGCCATATGTCTATGGACTTTGAAAATATTTGAACTATTACAAAAACTTTAACATAAGTGGTTACGCCGACGCCGACGCTCGGGTGACTGCAATAGCTCTACTTATTCTTATCGAATAGTCGAGCTAAAAACATAAAACATGTGTTGAAGTTAGTATTTAATGATATCTTAACCCCTAACCTGCTAGAGCCTTTCCAACCAGTATAGAGCTAGGCTAGCCTGCACATCCATGGAATCTGAGCAGGCTTTCTTAGTTAATAGTTTTTTTTTAATTTTATAATGAAATCCATTAAAAGGTACATCATGCCTCAGAAATTAATAAATTTTTCCTTTTTCAGGAAGGACAAATAGGACTATGTGTTTTATAATGTTGTAATAATGTAATTTCATAACATGCACAATGCTTGTTACATGAAAAAAATAGTACTGAATGTGAAATAACTTGTCATACAAGTAGCAAACTGTAAACAAAATAATATTTTGACTTCCATACAAAATACTTAATCACTATAACTTCACTAATTGCTAAAAACGCAAAAGAAGCCAAAGATAGCACAGCTATATGGCCAGTGAATAACTTTTTCATAACTTTAACAGGACATCAATATGAAAAACTTATGAAAAATACAAATGATAGCATTTCTGAGGCTAAATGGGCCTTTAAACGTGGAATGGAAAGTTCCAAGTTGAAAGCTTGGCAAAGATATTACAAACGTTCAGCTGGTTATGGATTAAGTATGATCATTGTTAAATAAAAACCAACTTTATAAAATGTAAATTATATACAATGGACAAATCAGTAGTTAAAACAAACCTATGTGTGTTAGTGCGCCGTTTATTATAGTAAAATAAGCAAAACATCATTATTACGTGAATCCGCATTTTATGCAATAAATACAAAAACAAAACAGTAACAAAACAAAAACACATATATTACACAAAAACATGTACCTCAACAAAAAACATAGTAACAATTACAAATTATGTTTTCCTTTTAAAATTTCAACACAAACATGATGTACCCACAACACATTAGAACAAGAACATACAAAACAGACACCCATGTTGCTCTGATAAATAGGAAGATCTATTTTTAGACTCAGTGACCTTGAGTGCCTGATCTAATCGATCTGAAACCTATTCCAAGGGTAGCCATTAATGGAACCAAGAACACTAAATATCCAACAGTTTACAAAAGTGATGCAACTTTAAGTGTGATGCAGGGCTGGAAGGACAGTTTGAAGGACAAGTTGGCAACTATCCCCTCCACTACAAAAAAAATCCAATATACTGAGTAATCATTTCCCAATTTATTCCATGAAAATGTTGTCCATTGCATAAAATTAAAAACCAATATAAAATAATGACTTCTACGGTTATTCCTTTTCACAATGAAAACAAAAACTTATATCAAAACAGAATAAAAGAAATATACATGTAGTTGTAATGTAGCACAAAATTTGACCTTCAACTTCAGTGTTTAATTTTTTAAAAGAGAAAATTCTTCAAACCTATCAACATTATAAAGACATGGAACTATAAAACAGTTCTAAAAGGCCTCCATCAGCATCCATTATCTTTAATGTACATCATCACCAATGTAAACTTCCATTTATGTACAATTACCCGTATAATGCATTGTAAACATTACATGCAGTAACCCTATTACTAATTTACTTTACAAGACAAAATTTGTTTTACAACCAATACATACTTAAAATTAAGACATTTTTTTTATAAGAACACAATTCATTTTGTTTTAAAATCAGATAAACCTGTATGTAATGAGTATGTGTATAGGTTAGTGTTCATTATAATAAGCTTTTACAAAATTTAACGTTTGAAATTATTTTTGTCCAACAGGATAACAGTATTTCAGAGGAATTTTTGCACATTAACTTTGGTAAACAGACAATGAAATATTCTAGTTAATCAACTGTTTAAACATTGTGTAAATGTCATTAATAAGCATTTACTAAATTATATTGGTCAAAAGACTGTACCAAGAGTATTACAAATTAAATTTGAAATACTGCAATTCTATTGGACAAAAATACTTTCTAACACATGTATCTTTTACCATGTTTAAGAATTAACTGACAAACTTTTATATTATGACACTAAATGATAGTTTACTGATAAAAAAATGAAAATTAAATAACTTATTGCAAAAATATGTCTAGGTCTTGTAAGTTTAAAAAAACAGAAGTTTATTGTCTCTATAAATTTCAATTCTGAAATCTGATTTATTTTAGTCTAGGTTTATTATGTGTATATCAGGTGTTAATTACCAACTGTGATTTATTTAAACAATTACACAATCAACCGCAGCCTGGAACTACTTTAATTAATTGAAAACATTTATGAACATTGACAAATGACAAAACCATCATAGTGCATTTGGGACCAGCATTGATCCAGACCAGCCTGCACATCCACGCAGTCTGATCAGGATTCATGCTGTTCATTATCAGTTTCTTTACTTTTAATAAGGTTGGTAAGCGAACAGCATGGATCCTGATCAGACAGTGTGGATGCCCAGGCTGGTCTGGATGTGCAGGCTGGTCTGGATCCATGATGGTCACAAATGCACTATGTTGGTTTTGTCATGGCGTGGCTCAAAATTTTATGTAATAAATATCTGACAATTATCTAGCTGCAAACTGTGTGACACCAAGTAAGTGAAAGTCAGCGACCTTCAACACTTCAGAAACCATTTAAGAGAAGAGGGTACATGTAGTTACATTTTTATTTCAATCATAATTCTTGATTACTTTCATAGAAAGATCAGAAGTCCAATACTGTTTTATTTAAATGCACAAGTTCATTATCTACAATGCTAAGTAAATGCTACAATGACACTTAGTTCTTTATAACACATCTTTGCTGGTAAGTTAACCATATTGTGTCAATCAGTGACATATTTTAACAAGAGTATTTCAAAAACATCATTTTATATCAATGATTCTTTTAGATTGAGGGTTAAGCAAAGCATTGAGAAATGCTAAAATTGTCCTCAATTTTTAATATTTTTTGCAATCTTAAATGAACTCCACTGAAAAACAAAAGTCTAAAAAAGGAATTTCTTGCATAGACCAACCTGGGCAATTGAATCGGAAATATAATTAAAAGAAAATCAAGAAATATGCAGTACTCATAAATAAATTGAAAATAGTTTTAGTGTAAGATCTTTGGGTCCTTTTTCATAAAATAATTGTTCTGAAAAATTGAGCAAGCGAATTTCATAAATCTTTCACTAATGGTACATTTTTGTCAAAAAAAAATATTTTCCTTTTCTGTCATTACAAAAGACCTCAATGGAGACACTTTAATAAAGTATCGTGAAGAAAAATTAACAAAATTCTTATCCATAATAATTGTCTACATAATATATGCTGTTTAGTCTATGGGTTCACCCTGTTATATACTTCATTTACCATCTTTAAATGCTGAATGTACATAACCTACATTTTCATTCAACAAACATAACTAATATGAAATCTATATAATACAGCTGCAACAAACATTAACCAATTTTCATGTTATTCTGATTCAGGAAATTATGCAGTTACACAAATTTGTTAAAATGATAAATGACAGTTGCCTCCTACAAAACCATTGTCCTGTAGTTTCGATTACATTATTTTACAACCAGTTATACTGCCCATTTTCTCTTATCAAAAGTCTTAATTACTTGTAATATATAACAAAAATATCTGAGTTAGTTATTTTTTTGTATTGCAACTTTACAATTAATAAGAGATATCAATGTTAAAGCTAGAAATGATTTAAATGGTAATATTCTAGCAGGATTTATAACGATTACAGTCTATCAAAGATGCCAAGGTGTGTGATATCACAACATTATCACATTATCTTAGTACAAAATCCACAAGTAAAGCTTGGAGTGATGATGATTCCACTGTAACAACTCATGTATTACATGGCCTGTATCTGTATTATAACAGGTACCCTGAATAAAAAAAGAACAAAGAAAAATCATTCAATATTGCAATATCAAAATTTCCAAAAACACCCTGACCATTGTCTTACTTTCCTGCTTCTTACAATTGACACAAAAATCAGCAGATGTATTATTCATACTTTTTACTAAACCTACAGCTAATATTTAACAAAATAAGTTTAAAAAAAAACACTCAAAATCAATATAAAATCAATGATATATTTATAAATCCCTCATGTTATTACAAGTTATTTGGATTTTGCTGGAAATACTTAACCTTTCACCTACATAAACTTCCAAGTTATTTTTATTAAGACTTGACCTTTCACCAACATAACTTTCCAAGTAATTTTTGAAAAGATGTTATCCAGAACTTGGTAAATGTGACATTTCCTCATCTAATTCCAGGGTTTACAATTTGGTAAATAAATTGATATTAACAGCAACAAGTTGATCACTTTATTGTGAAGGATAGTGCCATGTGAAGCTTTGTTTCTTTGTACCATATGATAAGCTGGGAAAACTTACATTTTGCAAGAATATCACTATTAACATCTCTTGCTATTTTAGTGGAAACAATTTTCAAATAAATTTTCATACAAGACAATACAGAAAAACAGATACATTCACTAGCCATGGATGATATTTACTTCCCCTTCCAACAAATATTTACAGTTTCCATTTTCAAAAATGAAAAAATTAATAAAAGTCTGGTAACCATGCAAATTTGATTAAAAAAATACAATTTCCAGACAGATGGATTATATATTTTCTATAAAATAGCCTAAATGTGATCTTCGTACTGGAAATAAAATGCCCATGTTATCATATATCAAATACAACATATCATAATCTGACCATCAGATTTTACCAATATAATTTTAATTAATTCCCCATATGAAAATAACCTGGCAAAAATGCTTGTGCCCACCTCACTATCATTGTTTTTAACAAATCATTTTTCATTTGAACAATATACAGATCTAGTCACAGAATTAATTAAAACCTTCAATGATAAATAAAAAACTAATTCAAATTAATTAAGATTTAAAAGTTTACCTATCCTTTATTTTTTTCTTGTTTTGATTTAATTAGATTCAATATAAATACAATTTAAAAGCTGACTAATTAATCTTCTATACAAAAATGACTATGTTTTTTTTAAGGTCTGGCTAAATGTGATAACTCAAGGAGTAATTTGTTGTGGTGGAGATAATTTCAGAGGCTGTTATCACTTTATTATAACAGGTGTGTTAGGCTAATAATCAAACTGTTTTTTACTGATTGCTTCATGCTAACAGTTGTTTTACAAAATTTCTAATTAAAAAAAAAAGAATTCATTATTATGTATTAAAATTTCCTGACACATTCTATACTTTTTTATACATCATTTTTTTCAAAGCACAATGTGAATTAATATTTAATTAGAAAACTTAGTAGTTCCATCATTTTTTTGTTCCATAGCCCACATTGTAATAACCTACATCTACAATGTTTATATGTTAACTTGTAAAAAAAATTCCGACATTTATAATCAAGGAGTATTTATGAGATGACCACAATTTAATCAGAAAAAAAAGTTCTGGTGTTAAATGACAATCAGTGAAGTTTGTTATACAACATTTTTTCCTAAGGGCAACACCATATAAAGGAGAACTATAAATAGAGATGAAGATACAGAGCAATGTCTGTACAGCAGTCCTCTGCAAAGCATTAAACGGACTCCACTGAGGTTTAAAAGCCTAAAAAGATAGCATTTGAATTTCTTACATAAATGAGCTGGGGCACTTTAAACAGAAATATATGCAAAGATAGTTAAGAAACATACTTTGAAATACATTGAAAATCGTATTTTTATGCTTTTCTTAGCACGATTTGAGTGAAAAGCGTTTAAACGCTTTTTATTTTGGTCATTTTTTTACAATTTGAATAATTATTCTAGAATAACAAAGTGCGCTAATGATTTGAAATTTTGCACAAAGATTAGTGGTCTAAACCTACATCAAATGATACATTTATCTGGAAAAAATATTTTCAGTCCCATTATGTCAAAAAACCTCAGTGGATTCCCTTTAAACCTCTTTACAATAACAGTGTCAATTCTTCTGAAGTAAGACTTCACAATAAATTTAATCTCTCTGGGGCAATACTCATTGGCAACGACCAATATCTTTGTCTATGTAAGGGTGCTGCTATGCCAAGATTGTACTGTATACAGGAAACACAATTATGTATGTGCACCAACTTGTTTACTGCTTGTGTTATAACTTGTTGAAGAACTTACCTTTGATGTGACTATCACAGAGGTACAACATTGTACTACTTCACATCCTCTTCATTTGGTCTTTTTCTATTTGTTGAACTATCACAGCTGTTGACAGAACAATAAACACAGTTGTCACTATTTAACATAAACACTTTTGTTTTTAATTGACAAAATAGAAATATCATTTTGACAATATTTTCAACAAGAGGGCCATGATGGCCCTGAGGTCGCTCACCTCTGGGGCAGGGCCAGTTTTGACCCCAGGGCTTTTATTTGAACAAACTTGGTAAACACCCATTAGAACATGTTTCATGCTAAATATCTTAGCTCTAGCTCTTTGAGTTCTTTAAAAGAAGATTTTTTAAGTTTTTACTATAAGCATATAGGGTAAATCAATGACCCCCTGGGGCGGGGCCAATTTTGACCCAAGGGCTTTTCTTTGAACAAACTTGGTAAACACTCATTAGAACATGTTTCATGCTAAATATCTTAGCTCTAGCTCTTTGGGTTCTTTAAAAGAAGATTTTTTAAGTTTTTACTATATGCATATAGGGAAAATCAATGACCCCCTGGGGCGGGGCCAATTTTGACTCCAGGGCTTTTATTTGAACAAATTTGGTAGACACTCACTAGCAGATGTTTCATGCCAAATATCTAAGCTCTAGCTCTTAGGGATTTTTAAAAGAAGATATTTAAAAAATTTCTTTCGGTTGCCATGGCAACCAGAGTTCTGCATGGAATTAAATTCTTTGAACAATTTTTAAAGGTGACCACCAAAGGAACATTCCTGTGAAGTTTGGATGAAGTTGGCTTAGTGGTTTATGAGGAGATGTCATTTAAAGTAAAAGTTTACGGATGGACGGAGGACGGACGGACGGACGACGGACGGACGCCGAACAAAAAGCGATCACAAAAGCTCACCCTGTCACTTTGTGACAGGTGAGCTAACAAGAACTGTCGGAGGACAGTAACGCTGGACTATTCGAAAAGTTGTCACAAGGGTGTTTCATCATGTATAATAATGCTTACCTATATGAATACATAAAATTGTCCGAAAAGATACAAAGGCTTGTTATTAAGATGTTTTATCGAATAAATCACTGCTTTATTATTATGAATACATAAAATTGTCCCAAAAAAGGCACAAACCCTTCAGTAGTTATGGAGATACCAGCTTACAAACAAAACTTTTACCAAGAATTTCTAACACGAAAATGGGGCATAACTATGCAAAACAGCAAATCAGAGTTATGTGACTTGTGCCAATCATGTTAGATAATCACAGAGAACAAGTGTGTGAAGTTTCAATCCATTCCCTTCAGAAGTGTTGGAGGTACCAGCTTCACGCAAAAACTTAACCAAGAATTTCTAAGTCGAAAAAGGGGCATAATTATGCAAAATAGCAAATCAAAGTTATGGGACTTGTGCCAATCATGTTAGATAGTCACAGAGAACAAGTCTGTGAAGTTTCAATCCATTTCCTTCAGTACACAGGTAAAAATGCACCACATGTTTGCTGTATGTTTGGTACCCCATATGTTTTCCATATGTAAAACATATGTGTTTCATGTGTTTTGAAAAACATGTGTTTAAGAACATGTGTTTTTCATATGTAAGATTAACATATGTAAACAGGACCATATGAAAAACATGTGTCAACAAACATATGTTAAACTCATGGTTATCACATGTTTTTCATATGAATAAGTTTTCATATGTGAAATATATGTGAAAGTTCATGTATTTTTCATATGACAAATCTATGTATCATATATTCTGCAAGCTTTACACTTTTTACAGTCTCTATAAGATTCTAAATGATTGTACATAAATTCTTAAAAAATTCTTGGTTCATGCATCTCAAGCAACTTATGGTTAGGGGGAGAATAGTCTGCCATTCATTTTCATTCATGATTTTTTTCCTTTTGTTAATGTTAGTGTTTATTTAGTGAACAATGAAGTGACCCGTAGGGAGTGACCATCATATCATAATTATATGCTCACAATTTTGTAAGTTCCAAAACACATTATTTATAAAAATAATATTACATTTTAAAAATAATAATACTGAATTTTACATTTCATGTAAATAAAGGGAGGTAATAAAAAGTTTATTTTCTATAAAGTCCAAGTCAAATTTTTCAATAAGAAATGAATGCATATATTTTAATAATTACATATTATATGTACAAATATTTGCAGTACATATTTAACATATTCTTCAATGTTTGAAAATTGTTTTACAAGCATAATTATATACATATATACATGTAAAGTTTCACTTACATGTGCTGTTGAACACCATTATATGCATCGTGGTGAAAATTAAAAATGAGCTTGACTGATCAATAAGATTATGCAACTCGGACTGATACCTGACACATATTTTCTGTATGCATGACAAACATGCACGAACATTCTTTCCAGGTTTTAACAAGCGAATTTGAAATGGAATTGCCAAACATTGGTTTCTTTTTCAATTTTGTATAATAATAATAATTGGAACACAATTTACCATTTGTAATGAAAAACATGATTCATGTGAAAAATATGTGAAAAACATAAGTCTATACCATAAATGTAACATACAGTGTCCTTTTCTTGGAGAAACACTGTTTCCTACCATATGAAAAACATATGTTATTCATGTGTATCCATATGAAAAACATATGAAAAACATGTGTTTGCACCATATGTAAAACATATGGGGTACTTTTCTTGGAGAAACCATATGTTTCTACCATATGTAAAACATGTGTGTCACATACGTTTAACATGTGGTGCATATTTACCTGTGTAGTTATTGAGATACCAGCTTACACGCAAAAACTTAACCACAGGGACGCTGACATTGACGCCGACAAATGGGTGACTGCATTAGCTCAATTATTCTGCGAATAGTCGAAAAGATACCAAAATCAAACAAGACCAATCACTAAAGGTGACTCAAACTCTGACCCGCCACAATAACTATTTGAAAAATAAATGGTCTGAAGCAATGTTTGAACTAAACCTATATTTTATGATGTTTCATCTTTGTACCAATAACAATGACATATAGATAGGATAGCTCCTCTACTTTCTAGTCAAGCTAAATATCATAAGGTTGTGTACTCACACTGCAAAGCCAGGTAGACTATGGATTTCTTGTTGTAAAAGTTTGGTTTCCTCCACATATTTGTCCAATTCTGATACATGTGTAGGGGGGTTGATATTTGGTATGTACCGAGAAAATAATTGTGGATTCATTTTTGCATATTCTGAAAAAGAAAAAAGTCAGAAATATTTCAAATAATAATGTGATCTATAAAACTAGTGAATGAATGTAAATTACCAGTTTGTATATGAATTTTAAACCAGTGTAAAATTAAAACAGGTTATTTTCCACAAGTTTTCAGTATAAAGGTATCAAATCTGACTATACAGTAAAGTAAATAGTCTAACAGTAAGAAAGAGCTGACCTTGCTTGTGCTGGCAGTATTATTTTAGTGTTTTAAGACACACAGACACTGTGAAGTGACTTTACAGGTTGAGAGAGACTTCAGTTGCCCCTTAATAAATCATCAGACACAAGCAGGCAGCTGAGTAGAACCACCTACAGTCTGTTACCTAGCTGGAAAGCTTCCATATACATGTATACATAAAAAAAATATCCATATATCCATAAAAGAAAGGGATTTGAGAGGGAAGTGAGTTAAAGACCATTTTGCTACAGATGACCAAATAATGACATGGTCCTGTTATCATTTTACTAACATTAAAGGAATTCAACAAGTATTTTTTCAATACACTATAAGTCTGCATAGGGGCCATAAGTATGAAACATTTTGTTGCATCAAAATTATGCACATAAGTGTCCAATAACAGAGAAGAAAACATGATTTTGAAGAATTTAGTAAAGTTTGAGGGCTTCTGCAGATGTTTATGCACAAAAAAATCACTTTTGTTAATGGAATTACAAGGGTCATTATTGCAGTCATCCCTGAGCACCGCATTCTTGAAAAACATGGAACAATGGAGCATTCACGCATGATTTCATCCATTATTTATTTCTTCTCCATTAATGAACACACATGTGGGCAATTGTTTACATTTATGGGTAGTATTCATTTCTTAACAGTGTTGAAACATATTTGCCAGGAATACAACACTATTACATTTAAATGCCTAAAAACTTGTTACTTAATGAGTGTTGTTTTATCATCCATAACTATAGAATTGTTATTTATCCTGTCACTTGTATCAATTTCGGCCCGATAACAAGGTGCCGTATATTTTTACTGATCTACGGCACTTGATCACGTGGTATGCATGTTTGCCGGACTACTTTTTTAAGAAAAAATATATAAACTGTCGTCAAATCTTCTGTGTGTAGAATAACGAATTTTGGAAACGTTGATAAAACTTTGTTTATTTATTTTATTTCACTCTATAATTTTTCAAGCGAAATAAAAATTATTAAAAGTGAAAAAAATGTAAAACTTAACTCGTTTGCGACATTAAAATAGCGTACTTGATTTGATTGTTTTGCACGTGCTGTTTGGCGCTACATTGTGACGTCACGTAAACAATACTTTAAACGTCTGTACAGCGTTAACGACTGAATAAAAGATATTGGTGTTCGAATTCATTTTCTTAGTTAGACCATTTTCTTTCATTCTAGATAGTTTTCACAACAAAATTCGACAAAAACTTGTTTTTATTTATCACATTTTTCAAACAAAATGGCGCCCTCAATGTGAAAATACAAAGGGAGATAATAAGAACGGCGAGTGCATTGTTGTAGAATAATGCACGCTTCGGGCCTTCTTTGTTTATATAGAAACATTTCCGATAGTGTGATTAAAGGTAGTTTGCCTTATAAAATTCTTTTGAAAAAACGGTGACAGGATAAATAGAATAATAGATTGGTGCCGTGGATGGAGAAAGTTTATCTGGCTCTGCACCGGAATTTATTGGGTTCGCCTTCGGCTCACCCAATAAATTCCTCCGCCTCGCCAGATAAACTTTCTCCATCCACGGCACCAACCTATTATTCTCTATTTCCACACTACATCTAGATTTTATGAGGTAATTTTACATCTACATGAAATTAGATATACCTTTTATTACTTTGTTTACATATAAAATATTGTATACCATTGAAAAAAATAAAACGTAAACCTAAAATCAATTTGTATCTTATAATTATATTATTATATATACATATATGGATGTATGGTCACAATTTGTATAACATATTTTTTTTCCAATTACAGTTCATGTCATTTTCAGGTTTTTCTATCTTTTCAAATTTAAGTACAACCAGACAATTGGTGCCTCAGTATAATAACATCTGCTACCTTTCACTGTTAATAACTATATGACATTAAATATCTGTAACAAAATGTAATTGGAACCTTAAATTACTGTATTATTGTTAAACCAATAAGGAAATTCAAATGCATTAAGTAAGACTGTTAAAGAAATTAAATTTTCTAATATATGGGCTAGTTATAAAATTCCTGGTAAGTTTGCCAAGGGTGGCAATATATGAGAACATCTTTTTCAGTATTGAGAAGAATTTTTCAAATTAAATTCATAAATCCTAACGTAGGAAGTAGTAATGTTTGGCATAAACGTCTTCTCTATTATGCTATTGTATTCCAAACTGTTTTAGCCAATGGAAAATTTTGAAAAAAGTGCACAATCATGGTAAAAGTAAATCAGTAGAAAAAAGATTAAGGAAAATCATAGTAAGTGGCTTGCTTTATACAAAGTCAGTAACAACTGAGTAAAGAGTACTAGTATTTTTTGTAACCAAGGTTTGTGCACCTTATTTCAAGAAAATTTTAAATATTAAGAAAGATAATAATGAGATATGTACCATGTTTGAAGCTTTCTGTAGAGCTTTCTACAGCCCATAATTACTGCTCTTAAGTCACAAGAATTTATCATCTTATATATGATTGGTATGTCACTATCGGTAAATAATTGTATTAGACAGTAATAATTTAAATGAGACATATTAACCCTTTTATACTGTTGTATTTCTTTAATAGATTAGCTGAGGTTTCATTTTTCACAAATGTTCATAATCAATTTCTTCATTTAACAGTATCAAGTGTGGTTATACTGTATATATATAAGTGCGGCTGGACCTCGCCTGAATCTATACTCGTGATAGTTTACCTTTAGTTCCAACACACAAACAATTTATGAAAGCATAATATATAACATAAAACCTGAATTCAACTTAGCCCTGATGGGTTTTACCAAATTTCTACACGTAAAAAAGTTACTAAAAGGAATGCCATTCTGTTTAGATAACTACAAGCAGCCAGGATTGTAGTTAAGTTAGACTTACAGTGGTGTGATGACATTTTCATTAACTGATTTGTCATTAATGATGATGTAAAAGGGACATTATTTTAACAAAAGGTAAACAGGTAGTTATCTTGCACATACATGTATCACATGTAGTTAGTTGATGACATAAATAATTTGTAATGAAATTAGCACAGCCATGATTCAGAGAGAAAACAGGGTCAATTTTGTTTTGTGTGTAGTTTCTCAAAGAATGATTATTTTCTATTTAACATTTTATAAATATATGTTGAACATATTCCCATTTATGTTGATATTATTTAGTGCTAGATAAATTGTTGTATATAATAGAAGCAGCAAATATCTATGTTATTTCGGATCATCCCTCGTACATGTGAATTTTCTTAGAAATTTAATCTGAAACAGGTTTTTTCTAATACCTTGTCACTGAAGACATTTTTATTAATTATCCAACAATTAACTGACTGGCCCTCAAAAAAATGGCAGTATTTTCATTTGGGAACATATGGTGTAAATAAATAAATTAAATCAATATAAGACAATTTATATTTAAGTGACATTATCATCATCCCACACACTGTTTATTTACTAAGCCATTCCTAATTAACTTGAAGCATCTTTCATTTTCCTGTTTTTTTTTCTTTCCTTGTTTGTGTGGTTTATTCACACTTGCCACTGGTATGAACCATATGTGCGAGCATATACTTCATTTAAACTTGCTACATTTGAAAATGAACTAGTATTTATATTGCTACAGTTTTATCCATACATGTATAAAATTGTTTACCATAATTCCTAATTATATTGAAACATGGAAGAGTGGAAGAGTTGTAAGGACTCACTTGAATTAGTGAAAATATTTTTTAATTTAACTTCAGTTAAAGGGACTCCACTGAGGTTTCTAGACATGACGGTCCAGAAAAATAGTTTCCCCCGAGATTCATGTACTGTTTGATGAAGATCTGGACCAATAACTTGTGTGCAAATTTTTTAGATCATTCAATCACCTTTTTTTCCCCAAAATAATCATTTTAATTATGCAAAATGACCGAAAAATCAAAAGCAATGCCTTTTACACAAATCGGGCTAAAAATAACACAAGAAATTGATATTCAAATAAATTCTGGGCATATTTCATTATCATCCTTTCCAGAGTTTTCATTTTTAAGAGATTCACTAGTCTTGGTCTACGTAAGAATTTCAAATTATATTTTTATGCATTTTGACCTCAGTGGAACTCCTTTAAAGGGACTCCACTGAGGTTTAAAAGCCTAAAAACGCAACATTTGAATTTCTTACATAAATGAGATGGGGCACTTTAAACAGAAATATATGCAAAGATAGTTAAGAAATATACTTTGAAATAAATTGCAAATCATATCTTTATGCTTTTCTTAGCCCAATTTGAGTGAAAAGTGTTTGAACGCTTTTCATTTTGCGTCATTTTTTTACAATTTGAATAAATATTCTGGAAAAATGAAGTGCGCAAATGATCTGAAACTTTGCAGAAAGATTTGTGGTCTAAACCTACATCAAATGGTACATTCATCTGGAAAAAATATTTTCATTCCCATCATCATCATGCCAAAAAACCTCAGTGGAGTCCCTTTAAGATAAAATAATTTCCTAACACTTTGGATTATACATCATTTATAAAACAAGATTACCTTTATTAAGTGAATGTAAATTCTTTATCAGACAGGACATGACAGGGGGAGACACTGTAAATGGATTGGCATTGGCTTCTTCTAATAATGCTGCAATAAAACTAAATGTTCACAATAATATATCAAATATGGATAGAGGTAAATATAAGTTTAACTATATTGTGAGCAAATTATTTATTTTATAAGCTTGATTGATTTTTTCATTAATATTTATCAAACAAGAGTTTTTAAACAAGAGCTGTCTCAGTAGCTACATGTTTTACTTCTCTCTGAGCTTAATAGTAAAATAAAAGCAAATAAGAATGCAAAACTGCCTTTGATAACAAGTATTTCAAGTTTTAATTATTAATATCTTAATTTTTTTAGAAAATTAGAAAATATAAAACTATAACAAGAACCTAATGCAGTGTTAACACACATTTGTAAATGGTACTGTCTCTCAATAACCATTCAAACAAAATTCCAAGTTAAAAAGGGGCATAGCTTTAAGAATGATGCCCTAATTTGCCTAAATTGAGTTGATTGCCATTAAATCAAACTAACAATGTCACATGAACAATGTTAATATCATGTGGTGACTTTCTAGGTTTTTATTCTAGAGAAAAATCTCACAAGCACCAAGTGCATTATTTCAGGCACAAACAAACATCCGAGTATAACCACCAACTTTCCATGGAGTAGCTGGACATCTTTCTCATAGGAGTTCAAATTTAATGACCTTGGAGGCTTCCAAATAATTCTAACAGAAAAATTAACTGAATATTAACATGTGATCAAGTACAACAAGTAAGAGGTTTGTGCTCATCTGCATTCACACATGTACAAAGAACATACCAGCAATGAACTGTAAGATCATATTTTTTACTTACATAATAAAAATGTTATCTGTGTATCTACAACATTGGTCCGAAACAACTTTAACAACTCTTCATTCAGATCTGTTTTTAATTTTGTTTCTACATAAAATCTGTTCTGTAAACACAATCAAAAATAGACAAATGATTAGCACAGTATCATTTAAAACACAGGATATAATTTGTCCTTCAATAAATTATTGTCTTTCATGTCACAGGAAAAGGTTAATCAATAAATTCATTGTCATGGTTTTAAAATGATGGCTAGCAATTAAATACATTACATCAACATATCGGCCTTTAATAATCAATTAGGATAATAGACATTCTTATTAACTACCCTGATATATATATTTCATAGATTAGTTTAAATTTCTAATAAATTTCTTAAAAATTGTTAATGAAGATTTCCCTTACACTGATAATATTTCTTATTGCTCATCTAAACTTTTTTCTAATCAACCTTAAATCTACTAAATTTCATGACAAGACTTGTCCAGCTTTCCACATTATTTATTAATTTTGGGGATACCAAGGTGAAAATTTGAAGTAAGTCAGCCCATCATGCAGAGCCTGGAATGACCACATGGATTTGCAAGCAGACCTGGCTCTGTAATGGTGACAAATACTATTTGATTCAATACATGTAGATTTAACAAGTTATACATACCATGTAATTAAATATTGGTACTATTCCACCCAAGGCTTGAATATACTGGTTTAATATATATGAGAACTTTTCAATAAACATGTTTGGAGATGGCACCTGAAACACATAATGTAATTTATGTGAATATCTTTAATGATATATTGAAAGAAACATGAAGACTGCTACATGTTTTACATTAGTGTTCATAAGAAAGTAATAATTTGCTACTTCTTGCAAAACAGTAAACTAATATTGCAATACAGTCAACAAATACATTTAACCTATATTGACTACAATCAATCCATATTGCAATACAGATAAACTATATTACAATAAAGTTAAGAAGCATTTTAATGCAGTAAACCTGTATAGCATTACAGCCCATCTTCCAATACATATTGCAATACATGTGTTGTTATGGAAAACAATTAAAAAACTAAACCTGGTGATCATTTTTGAAATGATTTACACACTGTTAATAAAATTTTAATTTATATATATCTTAGAAATGTTAATTCTAATAGCACACTAAGGTCTTTATTAGACATTAAAAACTGACGCAAGAATGTTGAAAAATATCAGCCACTTTTTATTGATAGCATGTGTTAGTTTAAATGTTACAACAGTAGCTCTTTTACATTACCTAAATTGACAAATTTTGATTTTATAGATTATTGTTCTTAATTAAATTTGGGCTTGCATTGCCACTAATGGACCTTTCCGGTTTTTCGTAGCGGAACATGTAGCCACACCTTTTCCATTCATTGCTAGGTCAACTGCTCACAAACAGTATCACAAACAGAACCATGTGTTCTTTTGTGCAAACCAGGTCAACCAGTGACTATGTATTATCTCAGTGTTTCAATTGGATAACAAATTAGCCAATTTACATAAAACTGTAAACACTGGAAAGGTCCATTCATCAGATGGAACATGATTTACTAGTCTTAGCTTTAAATTTCTGATCAAATAATATAATAAGAAATATATAAGTATATCAGTACATACTAAGCTCTGTAACTCATTTGAGATGGAAGCTAGGTGATTGGACATATAAGTTAGGAGATCTTGGTATAACCTCTCTGAAAACTGTTTACAAACACACTTGTATACACAACTGTAAATATAAGAAACAATTATTTCAGTGAAAAGTATCATGTACAAACAACAATATCTGAACAACTATAATATTTAATTCTATCAACTAATTAATTATATGCATCTCTAAGTCTTATTATACTCGTTATTTTTACTTTGGTCAAGTAAACAGCTGCTGTTGAAACATGTGGTTTATAAAATTTCTGATATATAGTAGAACATGACATGACCCAACCTTGTTACCAGATACCTCTTATTGTTGTACTAAAAACAGACACTGTTTGTAAATTTGCTAAATAAGTTACAAAGAGATTGAAAAAAGAATATATGAAAGAATGACATAATTATAACCATGGTATAAGGGAAACAACAAGCACTGGTTCTTTATATGCATAGATGTTACAGAGTTATTGATTAATACAATTATAAAATGTTAAAAAAATGTTGCTGCTTAAAAACATGTAAAATGCTTGATGACAGAACAAAATGTGACATTCTTTATGCATTCATTCTTTTATGGAGAAAAGAAAGATGTTTTATCAATACCAAAATCATTTCTTTAATAATCTTAAATCTAAATATGTTTCTAAAGAAAAGCAGGATGGAATGGAATTTTCATTAATTTCTGCAAGCACTAAAACAAAAATATAAAATTATCATTAATGCACAGTTACAGAATTTTGCAATAAAAAAATTGATTTTTTTTTCTAAAAGAAACACCACTTAAGTGCACCTGTTTAATACTTTACACACTTGTATACAATGAAGGATGCGTTTTTAATTTCCATTATCTCATTTTATTCAAGAGTTGTTGTCATTAACATAGAATTATTTTAGACAGTATTACAGCGAAAGCCCCATAAAATTACACTTGTGTAGTATAAAACTTCCTTATGTATGTCCTTGAAACAATTATATTGTATCTAGAAGATAAATAGGAACACATTGATTATAATTTAACATATTGTAGCAGCATAATTAAGACAATTAAGAACGCTATGATGGCCCTGAAATCCCTCACCTGTATATAGGCCCCCGGGGCATATGCAAATTTTAACCCAGGGGCTTTTATTTGAACAAACTTGGTAGACACCCATTACAGTGTTTTTTTCACTTTTGGGGGAAGGGGGTCGGTGCCCTTTGGAGGGGGAAAAATGCAATAGGAGGGGGATTTTATTTGTTTACTTATTTTATATTGTTTTCTTTGCGACTGAAAAGGGGAGCAACTCTTGCAACACAAGTTTAAAATATGTCTCTTTTTCTTAATATATGGATCTAAAATTTGATGTGTCGCATGTTAAACTTGTTGGGACCCTGGGAGTAGCTCTCCTTACCTACCAGAGAACGATTTGTAAACAACCTTGCTTAACAGTAACTCTTACAGGCATTAAATAAAACATTTTTCAGCAGTTAGTTGCAAAAAAAAATAATATTTATTGCAGGCAAATTCGGGCTGCCATATAGGGGGAAATTTAGGCTTTGAGGGGGGAAAGAACATACTATTTTGAGGAGGAATGGGGCCGAATTTCCCCTAATATTTTGGAGAAAAAAAACACTGCATTAGAAGATGTTTCCTGATAAACATCTAAACTCTAGCTCTCAGGGGTTTTTACAAGAAATTTTTAAAGTTTTTACTATCAAATATAGGGAAAAACAATGACCCACCCTGGCCTTGGCCAATTTTAACCCAAGGGCTTTTATTTGAACAAACTTGATAGACACTTACTAGAAGATATTTCATGCTAAGTATCTTAACTCTAGCGCTTTGGGTTTTTTATAAGAAGATTTTTTATAAGTTTTTACTATACACATCTAAGTAAAATCAATGACCAAGGGGCGGGGACAATTTTAACCCAAGGGCTTTTATTTGAACAAACTTGGTAGACACTCACTAGAAGATGTTTCATGCTAATTATCTTAGCTCTAGCTCTTGGGGTTTTTTTAAAAGAAGATTTTTTAAGTGATTATTATATACATCAAGGGAAAAACAATGACCCCTGGGGCGGGGCCAATTTTGACCCAAGGGCTTTTATTTGAACAAACTTGGTATACACCCACTAAAAGATGTTTCATGCTTAATATTTAAGCTCAAGCTATTTGGGTTTTAAAAAAGAAGATTTTTTAAGTTTTTACTATATACTAATAAGGAAAATCAATGCCCCCCCCCCTCCCATCCCCCCGGGCCGGACCAATTTTGACCCCAGGGCTTTTATTTGAACAAACTTGGTAAACACCCACTAGAAGATGTTTCATGCCAAATATCTAAGCTCCAGCTATTAAAGTTTTTTAAAAGAAGATTTTTTAAGATTTTACTATAGTATATAAAAATAAAGAAAATCAATGACCCCCCGGGCGGGGCCACTTTTGACCCTAAGGCATTTATTTGAACAAACTTGGTAGAAACTGACTAGATGATGTTTCATGCCAAATATTTAAGCTCTAGCTCTTTCGTTTTTTTAAAAGAAGATATTTTAGGTTTTATCTTTCGGTTGCCATGACAACCAGAATTCTGCATGGAATTAAATTCTTTGAACAATTTTTTAAAGTTGACTACCAAAGGAACATTCCTGTGAAGTTTGGATGAAATTGGCTTCGTGTTTTATGAGGATATGTCGTTTAAAGTAAAAGTTTACGGACGGATGAACGGACGAAGGACGGACGCCAGATGAAAAGCGATCACAAAACATCACCATGTCACTATGACTCACTTTGTGACAGGTGAGCTAAAAGAGAGGGACTTTTAGTATTTATTTGAATTTATATTTCATACTAATGTAACTATCTCTCACAGATTTTTTAACAAATGAAATGGGGGAAAAAATCATGAAAATTCACTTATAAGTTATAACAGATCTAGAAGTTTGTACATAGGATACAGATGCCCCAATATTCTACAGTTTAATCAGTCCACAGGCATGAGAGCAAGACAAGGGCAAATAAGTCCCCAACCCCCTTCCCATTCCAACCCCCAGAGAAGGTATACACATTTTGAGATCACTTAATTTCCAAATCTTAAAGATTTGTAGAAATTCTTAATCACCAAAGAACCAGTACAAGTGTTCACAGGGCCGGAATTACTTAATAGAATAAAGAGAATCAGAATGTATACACAACCTTCAGCAGTGTTATTCTAGGTGGTAAATTATTTTTTGAAAATAATTTGTAATATACTTAATATGCAATAAATTTTACATTCCAAAACACTTCGAAGTGTCAAAAATAGTAAAACAACAATCTACAAAGTTACCTGTGGTAATGAAATTAGGCATTCTAGATGACAAAAAGTGTTGTTTTTTTCTTTACTAATTGTCAGTATGTGAAGTAAAAGCTACACTTATTTCAGCATAAATTATTTTTAAAGAATTTTTCAACAACAAAACTGCCAAATGTTCCACCAACAAAATGTGTGCATAGAATAAATCATGAAAACAGCTTCTTGTTTTTGCTTCCTTCTTATTATTATCATTATAATCATTAATTTTGTACTTTATAAAATAAAACATTCCTCTCAACTTTGTTAGTGTTAGACATGATAATTAAAGTGAAGTGGAAAGAGGGCCTAACTCTTAAAACATGCTTGGTAAATTTACCTGCCCTTGTCTAAAGACACAAGCCATCATAGACATAATACATTTGATACATAGACAAAATTATGAAATATTTGATTAACTTTGATAGTATTGGAATATATTCACTTCAACAGAAAATCTATACACAGTGCTTTGGCAATAGAAAGATGTAACAGGACAATCAGATTTTAATACAATGTATATCTAAGAAGAAAACTTAAGTCCTGACCATCAATGAAGTATTTTATATCTAAAATGAATGTCTTCAATGGTTTTTGAGATATTTATAACATTTTTTGTAAAAGTAAAAAAAAATCTGCAATAAATGTCAGAGTAAAAAAAAATGTAAAGGACCACCTGTCCTTTGAAATGGGATAAAAATTTCATAGTAAACATGTGTCTCAAGTCTGAAGTGAATATCTTTGGTCAGTTTTAGAGAAAAGTCAAAAAGAGAAATAACTGAAAAACAAGAGTGCCAATTTGTCACAAAGTATTCCCATCAAAAATGCTCACTTTATCTCATAGAAGTAAGAATTTACATTAAAATCCCACAATTTATGATTGACATTATGATCAGTTCACATTTTCATTTTCTAATCTGACCTTCGTGACATTGACCTTGGCTAAAGGGACCAGAATGTTTCACTCAACATCATGATTTTTTACCTAGATCCCTGCTTCATGTGTGAAAAACAATGTCTCATGGTGGTGAACAATTACATGTACATTTGTATAGTGTAATACTAAGATCCCTCCATCATTCATGTACATGTAGGAGATATGCTTCAGACAACAAATTTACATAAATCATATATGGTGACCTTGATCTTGCATACATTAACCTGAATTATGCTGACAATACTAGGTCTAATAATTGTGAACATTTCTTATAGTATTCTTTTCAGTTCAAGATTAATAAATTGTCCATAAACACATTTTCATATTTTAATCAAACCTTTCACTTGTAAGTGTGACGTTGACCTTTGCCACTGGGACCTGAATTTTAAGTGCCATCCAACCCCTCACACTGGTGAACATTTAAGCAATATCATATTAAAATATCTCAAAGCAAATAGAAGTTTTGCTCCAGACAAGTATTCTTCTATGACCTATAAGTGTGATCTTGACCTTTGATCTAGAGACCTGGTTCATGTCTGTAACAACGCATCTCATGAATACCTACCTACATTTGCATAATGCAATATTAAAATCCTTTAATGCTTGCAATTGATATGCCCCAGACAAAATGAAATGCTGTGTAAATGCCCCCTGCTTGCCCACCCGTCCATCCACCAAGGGAAATTACTATTATACATCCCTTTTTAACAGGCATATAAAACTTTCAGTCAGGGCTATTTGACCTTAAGAAAAGCACATCCTTTAACATTACTCATTTACACAGTAATATATATGAATGATTCAAACATGCAATCTTTCAAAAGGTACAATGGCATAAAGTGCCATAACGCTTAAGTCAAAAATATTTCACAGCTCTAAAATTTGAATAAAAAAAGATTAAATACATGTATATCAATCATCAGTTGATAAAATCAGTCTTAACCTGTGTTGTGATATATAACACATTTTATATAATAGATCCATTAAAATTTTCAACAAGTAATCCTGCCAAATTTAAGCGAAGCAATACTTTCACAGAAAATTTGCATATAAATGGGGCATAACTCTTATCATTTATAAATTTACCTGTACATCTGTTCATATGAGATAGGAATATACTGTCCCGGTGTCATGGTAAGCAGTTGATTTATAGCTTGTTCAAGTTTTGGCCAATACATTGTCTCATAATCTTCAACTGTTATGGTCATCATCACTGAAAACAATTGATTAACATATCCTTGAATATCATATAGTATCATATCATATTTAATATATTTATCTATATAGTTTTCAAGGTATGCTCTTATGAAGTATTTAAAATTGAAACAACAACAAAAAACAACAAGAGCACTACAAAGGGGGGCAATATATACCGGAACAAAACTTTGTTTCAGTAATCAAAATAATCTTTCAATTAGGGTAGAGACCTATTCATGAAACTTCACCAAAAATGTTTTATATTAATTATCCTTTCATTTTTAGGAGGTAAATTGGTCTGAATAAACTTATGCAATAAAGCATCTTGATTCTACAATCTGGTTTCACTGAAACTATGTAATGTTGCACTACTATTCTAATAAAGGGATATTGGGAGTTAAATGCTGCACACTATTTATATTCTCATTACTGAAATGCTGGAGCAAAATGTTGGAGATTATCAGAAAATATAGCTTTGTAGGTTATGCATTGGCAAATAAATGGCACAAAACATGTGAAAATTATAGCCTGATGATGGGCCCTAATGATCTACTTGAAAAAATACACATTGAAATACACACTTCTGGGTCTAAGGTTATTAAGAAAAATTGAAATTTTCTGAGTTCAAAATATACTTGATAAAGGTATTTGATTAGTCAGAAATAGACCATTTAAATTAAGAGATCAGGGACAGTTCCCTTCGAACACACTGTGTCCATAAACAACAACAATCAAATTACAAATTTAATGTTCAATTTGAATTCTACGGTAATGTGTTAAAACCTAAGAAAAAAAGTCAATCCCTTGAATTTCAGTTTACTTGACTTCCCTTTGGCCTTTGCCTACTTTCATGTTTACAAAACAAAAAAGATATTATAGCATGAAAACTTATCAATTACAGTAGACTGTAGATCACAGACTTTTAATTGTAATTAAAGTCCATGAGTACATGTAGATCTAAAAGTTTTTAGCGTTTTGATGGTCAGAAGTTTTCTTTTCTTCTGAAAATTCAAAGAGAAATTTATAAACTTTAACATTATTTAATTATTTCTATGGACAATATAGATCTATGTAATAGTGAGCTCAAAGCTGGCTCAAAGGGCCTGCTCGCAAAGCTAGCTTTACGGTAACGTGAGTACCTGCTAGATAGTGATGGTTTTGAAAACTTTTGTCCGAAGTAATGAATTGACACATCGCAACTTTTCGAATTACAGGATAATGATAAAAACTGGAGGTATTTTGATTGAAGACGCAAGCGTAGACTGGTGTCCTGCACACTAATGTGGGAACCATAGGACAGGGAACCAGAATAAACAGAAGCAGTGTATAAAATACCGAATGACAATTTTTAAACAGAAAATGTAAAATAAAAATGAACGATTATTTTTTATATTATTTCACCGAGCTCGCTTTGAGGCTTTGCCCTTTTCATATTACATTTGTAATAAAATCTATATCATGAAGTCAAAGGCCGGGTCCGTGATGCGGGCCCGGTCTTTGGCTTGCCCAGCTATAGACTACAGCTAAAGCTTTTAGCTGGCAGAACGTCCCATACACTGATACAGCTAGCTACTTAAACTGTGGCTAGCCGTACGGGCCCGTACTGCTAGCCAAAAGTTCTAGCCGTACGTGAGTCACGTACGACTAGCCACGACACACTGTACTGGCTAGCAGTACGGCGCTTTTCAAAAATATATGGAAGGCGAAATTAAGTGCATATGTTGATAATGACTTTAAGCGAGGATTTTAGTCAAGAATGGTTGCTTTTTAGAGATTAATCGACGTGTTGGCTACAGTAAAGAATTTACTTTGTCATCTCAAGACGTCGAGAAAAAATAGCGTTTGGTTGCAGTTAAATAACATCACTTGAAATAGTTTACAAAATTTTGATAATAATCATTTTTTGTTTAATTAAGTTTAATTTTTAAATTGAAAAAAAACAACCCCAAAAAACACCGAAAATAATTGTTGTTGGGCTCTGATAATTGCGCCAATTACCGACGGTATAGAAGTTTGTCCATCGTCCATTATTAAAAGTTTGCATTATTAAATTATTTTTCCTTTTCACTTTTTTTTTAATATTCTTTTTATTTATTTATTTATTCCCCTCCGATCATTATTTATTCGATCCATGTGCTTAATTAACAGCTTGAACAATTCATCTTTCATACAATCATAAGCATGAAAATTAAGGACGTTATAACATGCAACTTTGACACTTAATTTTATTAAGATATATTATACAACGCTTACTCGTATTCATTTTTGTGTGTGCAAAATTGCAGAGTATCTTTATTAAAGTGAACTTACTAGGACAAATGCGGAGATTTGATTAAACTCGTTGTTAAGACACAAAATAACATATGCATTTTCGACTTCCATATAATTTTGAAAAGTGCCGTACGGCTAGCCAATACAGTGTGTCCAGGCTAGTCGTACGTGACTCACGTACGGCTAGAACTTTTGGCTAGCCGTACGGGCCCGTACGGCTAGCCACTTCCTAAAATTAAAAAAAATATGACTATCATTCAAAAACTGTAGCAGAACTAATCTGACAGTCTTAGAAGATTTTTTTTTTTAATTTCCAATAACGCAAGCATAATATTCTGGAAAAATTATTAAACACATTGTAAAAATCAAAGCAAAAGTTGGTTACCCATACTACCAGGACGCAACAAGGGGTTTGTAGGCTGATTTTTCGCCTGTTCAACTTCAATGTCAGGCTGAGTGGAATCAACCTCACACGTTTCTTCCATTGGTTCATCCATTACTGCATTTACAATGTCAACAATAACTTTATTGTACGCAAAAGTTTAAAACTCTGCGAAGAAAATAAAAAATTTAAACCGGAAGTAGACAGATTAACTTACGATAAGTTTTACGGCATCTACACAATAAATTCCGTCCGCTTCATTCCGTATTTTAAACTGGTACATTAATTTGATAATACCATTTGTACTGAAAAACACTTCAAATGACCATTTACAATTTGTTGCATATTCATTTCTTCTAAAATAACATCGACAAGATATAAAAATATATATATATTTTTAGAATTGGACCGCAGACTGCCCCGCATATTTCCGTCATCGTACCGGCCCTACAGTGTCCGGTAATAATATACTATTCGCCCCGCTGACGATTCGCCCAAAACTACTCACCTCATTGTTTGTCCGACATCTGAAATCCGAGTGTGCGGTCTTTAAAAATATCACGTAATCTCATATAGGATGGTCCCCTATGGTACTATTATAATCTGCTAATTTAAAAATCGGTAAAATTACGGTGTACTGAAAAAAAGAGATAATACCAAAAAGGATAGTATTCTTAGTAGTTTTCTTTCAGAATTCAATATACATTTTCTATCACCCTGCATACAATTTATGTTGTCTATAACCGTGCATTAATTATAGCTGACACTGTGTATTGGACAATAATGACATTTGACATGTTTATTAGTATACAGCACAGCAAGGTTAATCTTTGTTATCAACAACGACTTGTTCATTAGATTGAAAGTTTAATTAATCAAAAAAAGATCTATATGTAGAACGAATATATTATATTCCGCAACGGAGATCTATACACAGGTTTTTCTTTTTATAACCTCGGACAATTCCCTTCCCGTTATTTGTTTAGGTAAGACAATACCCTGCCTGTTATTTTCTCACACCGGACAATTCCAAAAAAAAAAACGCTCTATTCTCCGCAAGAAACTAGTGTATTACGTGTACTTCATCTCGATGTTGTTTGTAGTTTTATTTTTGAATTGTCAGTCCTGTGAATGGGGAATTGGATAACAAAAATCAGCCAAAATATACACTAGGGAATTGTACAAAGGGTGATTTGTCTGACCACCATTAATTAGTTCTGAATATAAAAATAAAGTCTATAGATATGTTTTTTACGCAGGATGCGGTGGCTGAACTGTGCTTTGGTGAATTCAAATTCAATGTGGCTTACTGCCTTGATCCAGAATGAAACTACCAACACTACCACTCTATAAGCAGTGACTGTACTCTTCAAAGTCGTCCGGTTAGCTCAGTAGGTAGAGCGTTGGACTGTGAATCGGGCGACCCGGTTAAATTCCCGGACGGTGCAGGTCATTTTCGTTGTGATTGATCATGAAATCCTTTCTACGGTCATTCGCACTGTACCTCTGCGCTGGCATGTACAGAAGATACAGCGTTCACTGGAAATAGCCCCTCAAAACATAGAAATTTAAAAAAAGGTTTATGTCGAGTTCACCTAAGCTGGGATATACGATAACATATTCTTATCGTATGTCCCAGGGTAATCACGCCCGTTTAACTCACAACGAGTGTAAAATGTCCATCGGTAAAAATGTTGTGAGCAACTTCCGTTCCTCGTTGTGAGCACCCATCTATGACGTGTGACACGATAAGCAAGGTGAGTTTTTCATAATTTTTGAAGATTACAGACATTTATGTAAAAATATCGGAATGCAGTTAGCTAGCGATGTGTTTTCCGAGTATGCACATGTAAATTTATTGCCTGTTGGTGGACAAGTTGATGGAAATACCGTGCGACGCAGTCACTCGGGGTAGCTGGAAAACTGGAGACAACTTCTCCTCGGACCAAATTTAACATGGAAAACGTCGATTCTGGTGACGTTTTGTGCATTCTAACCTAAAACAGATGCCCACAAGAATTCAGAGTAAATCATTATCTGAAAGTCTTCATAGAAACGAAGATATACCCTTTTTTGCTTTAATCCTCGTTGTGAGCACCATAACCTCGTTGTGAGCAAGACAAGCGCAGTGCTTGTCTGGTTTTAATACATTTGTATGTAATTCAAATGGCGAGAATACAATTTTCAATCTACCAAAAGCAATCAAAACGTTTTTGCACAATAGTTTTTCTTTGCAATAGTTCTTCTTTTTCTACATAACTTGGCCAGTCTAACATGAATGAAGCTCAGGATAAATACATGCATGTTTATATCACACAGACTGCCCTCGATGTTAACTCTGGCAACACGGAGTATATGCAATTAAATACATAATTTACCTCCCCTTATTAGTTCACCACCATTTGCACGAACAGCAAAACATTTGCAAAATCGTAGGTATATGAGTAGAATCCGTATAATAATAAGGAAGTTATGACCAATTTTTAAGTTTTTGGACAATTTGACCTTCAAGGTGAAGGTCATTCAGGGGTCAATGTCAAAAGAATATAGGTCAGTTGGAAGGCCTTGTCCAAAAAGGTTTTGTGCCTAAATATGAATTAAATTGATTTACTAATAAGGATATTATGGCCAAACTTAAATGTTTTTGGACAATTTGACCTTCAAGGTAAAGGCCATTCAGGGGTCAAGGTAAAAAATACAGGTCTTGTGCTAAGGGATGTTGTGTTCAAATATGAATCAAATCCGTTAACTAAAAAGGAAGTTATGGCCAATGTTAAAGTTTTCGGACGGATTGACGGACTGACGGACGGACAGTTCAAAACTAATATGTCTCTCTTCGGGGTATGCACTACGTCTTGCAAAGAAATGCTGCTGTGCAAAAACGTTTTAATTGCTTTGGTAGATAGAAAATTATATTTTCACCATCTGAATTACATATTAAAACCAGACAAGCACTGCACTTGTCTTGCTCACAACAAGGTTATGGTGCTCACAACGAGGATTAAAGCAAAAATGGTACCTATATCTTCGTTTCTATGAAGATTTTCAGGTAATTATTTACGCTGAAGACTTGTGGGCATCTGTTTTGTTAGAATGCACAAAACGTCACCAGAATTGACGTTTTCAATGTTAAATTTGGTCCGGAGAGAAGTTGTCTCCAGTTTTCCAGCTACCCCGAGTGACTGCGTCGCACGGTATTTCCATCAAATTGTCCACCAACAGGCAATAAATTTACATGTGCATACTCGGAAAACACATCGCTAGCTAACTGCATTCCGATATTTTTACATAAATGTCTGTAATCTTCAAAAATTATGAAAAACTCACCTTGTTTATCGTGTCACACGTCATAGATGGGTGCTCACAACGAGGAACGGAAGTTGCTCACAATATTTTTACCGATGGACATTTTACACTCGTTGTGAGTTAAACGGGCGTGGTAATGCTTTAACGTAGTTCTACATCAACGTAGTTCTACATCATAACTTAATCGATTTTCCCAAACAAAACAATTTTAGAGCAGAGTTTTTTTCTGCAGATTGAATACTTTTTGTTAACTTGGCGATAAATTGTAGTAGCGTTTTTGTTGAAATTTGCTAGCGATTTTGACATTTAATCAAGTCCAAAACGCAAAACGCATTTTCTGTATAGACTTTCCAGTACTATGTGTCATAGTGGTCATACATCAACTAACCTTTTACTTTCGTTTTCGATGTTTTAGTAATACTGTACAACAGTGAAACTGCTTGACAACCTGCCCAGGAAAGATGCGGTGGCTGAACTGTTTGTTCTCTGGTAAATTCAATGTGGCTTACAGTGAAAACTTTAAACTATTCCATATCCATGTTATTTTTTATAATAACTTCAAATTTATAAAAATGTTGTCTGTCAGAATGTTTCGTAGGGTATTTACTTACGACAAAATTACTTAGCCATTACTCAGACATATAATTATCAAAATAGTTATTTATGTCAATTTTTTCCACCTGGATTGTCAATACATTGTATTTATACATTTGGAAAAGATAAAAATTATTCTTCAATGGGAAAAACTCCAAAAAGTGTTCCAATATTTATTCTGACCTCCTTCGTATTTGATATATACCGTGGATACAACAACTAGTATGCACAGATGTCCATAGAAATTGAACTGTATCTTTAAATATTTTATTTTTACACAATTTAAATGCATAATTCTCCCATAGTGCTCTTTTTAGCTCACCAGAGCCGAAGGCTCAGGGTGAGCTATTAGTATCAAAGGGGGATGCTCCGTCGTCCGTCGTCATGCGTCAACAATCGTCTTCTTCTCTGACACTACGTAGCAGATTTACTTCAAATTTGGTCTGAAACATCCTTGTGACAGTCACACTTGAATTTGCTCATGTCATTCCAATTGGCCCCTTTTAGGGGTCAGCAGAGCTAAAAATAGAAAAACCTTTAAACATCTTCTTCTACAGAACTAATTGATGGATGATCACCACACTTTGTCTGTAGCATTCTTGGGTAGTCTTTTATCAAGTTTGCTCATATTAATTTGATTGGCCCCTTTTAGGGGTCTCTAGGGCTACAAATAGAAAAACCTTTAAACATCTTCTTCTACAGAACTAATGGATGGATGATCACCAAACTTTGTCTGTAGCATTCTTGGGTAGTCTTTATCAAGTTTGCTCATATGAATTTGATTGGCCCCTTTAAGGGGCCGCTAAAGCTAAAAATAGAAATACCGTTGAATGTCTATTTCTAGAGAACTAATTGATGGATGATCACCAAACTTTGTCTGTAGCATTCTTGGGTAGTCTTTTATCAAGTTTGCTCATATTAATTTGATAAGCCCCTTTTAGGGGTCTCTATAGCTAAAAATAGAAATACCGTTAAATGTCTATTTCTAGAGATCTAATTGATGGATGATCACCAAACTTTGTCTGTAGCATTCTTGGGTAGTCTTTTATCAAGTTTGCTCATATGAATTTGATTGGCCCCTTTTAGGGGCCGCTTAAGCTAAAAATAGAAATACCGTTAAATGTCTATTTCTACAGAACTAATGGATGGATGATCCCCAAACTTTGTCTGAAGCATTGTTGGGTAGTATTTTATCAAGATTGCTCATATTATTTTGATTGGCCCCGTTTTAGGGGCCGCTGAAATTAAAAATAGATATACATTTAAATGTCTATTGCTACAGAACTGATAGATGGATGATCACCAAACTTT